TTAACTATAAGAGTAATATTTACAGTAAGTAGGATAAGGCCAGAGAGTTTAAATAGAGAATCTTCTAAGAGATTTCAGGTATAGCAGCTAGTATAGAACCTTTAGATAGACTATTTAAAATAGATAATCTAAAATTATATGTATAGCTAATTGTACTTTTATAATATGTATCACTTCTGAAATTTATAAAATTAATAAAGTTAACTGATAGCATTTGTATAAAGTAAAAAAAAAAAATTAAAAGTCAGTATCAAATTCAGCCCATCTTTTGTTATAAAAAGAAACACATTTTTTTTAAAATTCAAGTCTTTCAAGAGTTGTATCTGCAATTGGTATAACTTTAATTATATTAGCTATTTTAATTAAAATTAAAAACATATCAGCAAACTTAATATTTGATGTTTCAATAGTTTTAACTGCAATTTTAGCAGGTTCAAGAACTTTATGAAGATTTTCAATATTGGCCCAAAATTCATGGCTTGTAATATAGCTTCTTAATTTCTTATTAAGCATATGAGAATCATCTTCAATTATTTAATAAAGTAAATAAAATAAAAATAAAATAAAAAAAATAAATACATAAAAACAAATAGCATAGAGGTTTCTAAATTAGCTAATGATACAAATCAATCTATTAATTAATCAAATTTGTATTACTAGCCTATTTTGAAAATAAATTTTTTTCTGATTAGAAAACTAGTTTTTTTAAGCAAAACTATAATTAGATTATATAAAATATATATATACTCTAAACATAGTTTTGCTATAAACAAAACCAAATAGGCGTATTTGATAAAAAATTATAATTGTTTAATAAATTGATTAATAAGCAATTACTTATTATCAAAATCAGATATCTAAATATTAATTCTAAATCTTCAAAGTAACTTACATTTTATAAAACAGATTCTAATTTCAAAACTAAATCACAGCAATCTCATACTAAACATTATCTAGTTTTAATAAATGATTTTAAACCTCTACTTTTAATAAGGAAATTTTTAATTTTATCTTTTAATTGAGCACTAGGCACATGTAAATTTTGAAAGTAAGTAATAAATTCTTGATATTTTGAAAGAACTTGAGATCCAAAAGAAGTTTTTTTAATAATATCTGCTGCTATCAGTTGAATATGATGAGTGATATAATGAATTGGTATAATATGCAGATATTTTTGGACAACAAGATTTTTTGCAAGCTGTATTGCAAAAGCACTATCTAAAACAATAGCTTCAAATTTTTGTAGACCAATTTCATTAATTACTTTAATAATTTTATTTGATATAAACTTCCCAATATATGAATAGGAAGAAAAATCTTAAACTGAATAGATATATTGATGTCTTTTAGGAGTAATAATAACAAATATGTAATAAGAATAATTTAATCTACTTGTCTAACTGTCAAGAACTAATTTAATAATATATAATTTATACAATTAATTATATATAATATAATATTGTTTTTATATTTAAAAATAAACTTATCTAAGGTCAAATTTTTAAGTCGTTTTAACTGTTCATCAGTATTGATTATAATATGAGCAGTTTTTTGATCAACTCAAAGATTACTTAAAGTTCTTTGATCAGAAGGCATATAATCTGCATTAAGATTTTTAAGTAAATTAATAAAAAAATAGCTTTCAACAACTCAAAAAGGGATACTACAACAAGTAAAAAAATGAGTTAAAGCTTTGTTAATAAGCTTTTCTTGATTTTGGTTTATATGAGTTAATTGAAATTTGTTAGTAATTTTTGACTAATTCTTAGTTTTAGCTTCAACATTTGTTTTTTTTTTTTTTTTTTAAAGATTTAGAATTTATTATCATATATAAATATTTTTTTTTGATATCTCCTGGTATATTTTTATATTCTAATGCTAAATAGGATTTTATTTTACTAGATCATCTTTATTATGTAACCTCTTTATAGTATTTACACTTCATCACTACATACTCATATTTATCATATACTCCAAGTTTAATATACTCTTTATTTACAGGGTCTTCAGGTCTACCAACTGATTTTTTAACCTTTGCTTTTTTTCTTTTTTTATCAAATTCACTAATACTTTCATCACTAGTAAAATATTCAGAACTATCAATTCTACTTTCAGAATTTTAACTATCATCATTACTCTTATTTTGACTAATGTTTTTTGAAAAAATACTTGACATTTGAAAGAATATACACTTTGATAATGATAAATTTCAAAACTTACTATTTATACAAATATATAATATATTAATTACAATATATATTAAACTTTATTATATTCATTTTTATACTATAATATTTTCACTATACTATTAGTCTACAGTAGAATATATTTAAATATGTATATAATTAATATATTAGACTAAAAAAATTTTAAAGCAGTCTAAAAATAATACTCATGCATTCTGTAAATCTGAATTTTTTTTATAAGCTTTAAAAAAATTTTCTCATAAATTTAAAATATACTGATATCAATATTAATATTTAGTTCTCTAAAAGAATCTATATATAAGTAAAAAGTAACTTTATTTCTATAGATCAGAATATTATTACTAATTCTTAACCCAGATATAATATTAGTATTAAAGTATATGATATTAAGTTAGGAACACAGAATTTGCATCAATATTTGCACTATTCCAGATTAGACTGATGAAAAATCTCAACACATACAAAAAAAAAAAAAGTAAAAATATACAAAAACTAATATTTAAATTGATCTTGTTGTACTAATTAAAAATATAAAAATAAAATTTTACATATATTAAAGCCCTAACACTAAATTTTTATCTAACATACTTAGTTTATTTACAAAATCAGTTTTTGCATTTATATATATATAATTATTACTATCTAAATTTATACTTTTGTATATATTAAACTAATAACTTGATTTCTCTAATTTGTAATTCTAAATTATGATAGTTTGCAAAAAGTAGTCTGCAGATTTTTAATGATAAATTACAGGAAATTAACATATAAATTACTATTAAAATTCTTGATTCAATAGATTATTGCAATTTGTATAATTTTGTAAACCTTTTTTATTAGTGACTACTAAAGTCAGCTAATTTATAAATTTGAGTTTGAAAAACTTAGGTTTATGATAAATTGGTTAGCTTTGCAATTGTGATTGCAATTATAATTAAAAAAATCAATTATAGATTATAAAATTATATATACTACAACAATTTTTTTATTCTTATCAAGGAGTATTACAACTATAGGTTATCTGTCTTTTCTATTTCTATATATACTAATAGTACAGAATTCAGAAGTATCACTTGAGCAACTTAAATTATTATATGTATTTGCTATACTATAATAATAGCAATTTGCAGAAAGTACAAAAAAAAAAAACTAGAATTCTCTTGAAAAACCCTGTTACTTACTATATAAATAGAGATATAGATATATAGCATAATCATATAATAGGCATATAAAATATGTTTAGTTATTATTATTTTTACAAGATTTATACAACATTTGTATAGGAATTTCAAATGAATAATAAAAGCAACAGAAGGGAACATACTCAATTCAAAATGAATTCTATACTGTACATAGTATAATCAATTAAAACTAAAATAAATAATTTTAGTTTTAATTAATCATACTGAATATAGAATTCACTTTGAATCAGATATGTTCTCTTCTGTTAATAAAAGTATATAATTTGAAATTATAACCTTATATGAAAATATAAATCAGTATCTTTATTTCATATTAGATAGCATAATCTTTTATATTTTTATATTATAATACTATAGTTTGTAAATATTGATAAATTGATTAAATAATTCTATTTTTTATATCAATTAATTTTAAACTGTTAATATAATATTTGTATATTATTAATTTTTATATTTTAATTAATATTAATTATTAAAATAATTTTTGAATATAAATTAATTTTTACATTTTAATAAATTTCAACTGTTGAAATTTAATTCAGCATCTTATATTTAAAAAATTCTTGGTGAAATTATTTAATTAATTTCTACTATAGAAATACTTTAATTTTACTTCAATTAATAGATCATATATTTTATTACTATATAAAAATATTAGTAATTGTGTTTGGATAAAGTAGAATTTCGTTGGTTTGTATTAGCATTAAAATCTCTTAGTATAATAAGTAGCATATTGTTAGCTATTGCTTGTTGTATCTATGAAATAACTTTGTTTTGAGTTGAATTTCATCAATTAGAGCAAGTAGATGATAAATAAACAGAAATAATTCTGAATTTAAAGTTGTTTTAAAAGAAGAGGTCTATAGCAAT